AGATTTGGGATTTTAAATTTTGAAATTAGGGTTTCAGATTTGGGATTTTAAATTTTGAAATTAGGGTTTCAGATTTGGGATTTTAAATTTTGAAATTAGGGTTTCAGATTTGGGATTTTAAATTTTGAAATTAGGGTTTCAGATTTGGGATTTTAAATTTTGAAATTAGGGTTTCAGATTTGGGATTTTAAATTTTGAAATTAGGGTTTCAGATTTGGGATTTTAAATTTTGAAATTAGGGTTTCAGATTTGGGATTTTAAATTTTGAAATTAGGGTTTCAGATTTGGGATTTTAAATTTTGAAATTAGGGTTTCAGATTTGGGATTTTAAATTTTGAAATTAGGGTTTCAGATTTGGGATTTTAAATTTTGAAATTAGGGTTTCAGATTTGGGATTTTAAATTTTGAAATTAGGGTTTCAGATTTGGGATTTTAAATTTTGAAATTAGGGTTTCAGATTTGGGATTTTAAATTTTGAAATTAGGGTTTCAGATTTGGGATTTTAAATTTTGAAATTAGGGTTTCAGATTTGGGATTTTAAATTTTGAAATTAGGGTTTCAGATTTGGGATTTTAAATTTTGAAATTAGGGTTTCAGATTTGGGATTTTAAATTTTGAAATTAGGGTTTCAGATTTGTGATTTTAAATTTCGAAATTAGGGTTTCAGATTTGGGATTTTAAATTTCGAAATTAGGGTTTCAGATTTGGGATTTTAAATTTCGAAATTAGGGTTTCAGATTTGGGATTTTAAATTTCGAAATTAGGGTTTCAGATTTGGGATTTTAAATTTCGAAATTAGGGTTTCAGATTTGGGATTTTAAATTTCGAAATTAGGGTTTCAGATTTGGGATTTTAATTTTGAAATTAGGGTTTCAGATTTGGGATTTTAAATTTCGAAATTAGGGTTTCAGATTTGGGATTTTAAATTTCGAAATTAGGGTTTCAGATTTGGGATTTTAAATTTCGAAATTAGGGTTTCAGATTTGGGATTTTAAATTTCGAAATTAGGGTTTCAGATTTGGGATTTTAAATTTCGAAATTAGGGTTTCAGATTTGGGATTTTAAATTTCGAAATTAGGGTTTCAGATTTGGGATTTTAAATTTCGAAATTAGGGTTTCAGATTTGGGATTTTAAATTTCGAAATTAGGGTTTCAGATTTGGGATTTTAAATTTCGAAATTAGGGTTTCAGATTTGGGATTTTAAATTTCGAAATTAGGGTTTCAGATTTGGGATTTTAAATTTCGAAATTAGGGTTTCAGATTTGGGATTTTAAATTTCGAAATTAGGGTTTCAGATTTGGGATTTTAAATTTCGAAATTAGGGTTTCAGATTTGGGATTTTAAATTTCGAAATTAGGGTTTCAGATTTGGGATTTTAAATTTCGAAATTAGGGTTTCAGATTTGGGATTTTAAATTTCGAAATTAGGGTTTCAGATTTGGGATTTTAAATTTCGAAATTAGGGTTTCAGATTTGGGATTTTAAATTTCGAAATTAGGGTTTCAGATTTGGGATTTTAAATTTCGAAATTAGGGTTTCAGATTTGGGATTTTAAATTTCGAAATTAGGGTTTCAGATTTGGGATTTTAAATTTCGAAATTAGGGTTTCAGATTTGGGATTTTAAATTTCGAAATTAGGGTTTCAGATTTGGGATTTTAAATTTCGAAATTAGGGTTTCAGATTTGGGATTTTAAATTTCGAAATTAGGGTTTCAGATTTGGGATTTTAAATTTCGAAATTAGGGTTTCAGATTTGGGATTTTAATTTTGAAATTAGGGTTTCAGATTTGGGATTTTAAATTTCGAAATTAGGGTTGTAAACTTTTCATTCAACAACGGCAGAATTTTTTGAATAATTTTCTCGTCAGTTCCATGATATAAAAATGATATTTGTGAATAATTTTTCAAATTAATTTGATAGGTTGTGATCATATATATGAAAATAGTTTCTATGATATTTTAAAGAATTTTGTAAGATTGACGAAAACTTAGTGAATATTAGGAGCTGTAATGATGAATAAATCAATCAAATGCCTATATTTAGATGAATAGCATGATGATTCGAACCATTTCTTCCTAATAACAAGCCAATATCTTATTGAAGACCTAACAACCACCTTCAAAATGAAGTATGTCTTGAGATTTATCATACAGAATGTGATTGAAATAGAGATTCAAGGAAAAGAAAGAGAGAGAGAGCTTACATGTGCAAATGTAGTTATATAAATGTATCAAGAATAAGAGCTGCAAAAGAGAAACCCAAAGAAAGAGAAAGCTCTCTCACAGATACAAATTGGTGTGAGAAGCGAAGCAAAGATAAGCTCACAACCAATATAGGAGAGAGAAGTGCAAAGATGATTCTTCAGTTCTCTCTCTCTTTTAGAACAAAGCTCAAGATAATGTTAAAAAACGGTTTTTCTAAAACCGGTTTTCATGAAAAAAAAAATTTGAACAAAAAATATTTATGTTGAAAATATAAATAAAAAAAAAATTAATGTTAAAAAACGGCTTTTCTAAAACCGGTGTTCATGAAAAAAAATTTTTGAACAAAAAGTATTTATGTTGAAAATATAAATAAAAAAAAATTTAATGTTGAAACCGGCTTTTCTAAAACCGGTTTTCATTAAAAAAAAATTTAGAACAAAAAATTTTTATGTTGAAAATATAAATTAAAAAAAAAATTAATGGGAAAACGGTTTTACGAAAACCGTTTTTAATTAATTCAGAATAATTAAAATCTTAATCAAAAACGGCTTTAGAAAAGCCGGTTTCTATTTTCAAATTTTATTATTATTTTAATCGATGAATACGGTTTTGTGAAAGCCGGTTTCTAAAAAACGGCATTAGAAAAACCGTTTTACCCTACTTTGGGAATAAAGATAAAAGTACACCCTAAAATGGGACTAAAATGTTCAAAACGGCACAAAGAGGGAAATTGGCCGGTATCAATTTGCTCTCTCTCTCACTCTCCCTTTCTCTCTCTAGGTATCCGTATTCTTCTATGGTAACTATAGGAGCTTAAAGAATATAACTTGGTGTGAGAATTGGTGTGCTAATGCTCAAACATGTGGAGATCTGAATGTGGCTATAACTGTAGTTAGGAAGATAAGGAGGGGAAATGACCTCAACTAGAGAGAGGCATTAGTGAAATGGTGTTCGCAAGGGCGACGCCAGTGGTGGGAAGATGCTAGGGGTAAGGTTAGAGTTGGGAATTGAATTTCCTTACTTAGTATATTTAGTTTCTTGTGTTGAGGTATTTATTGAATTGAATGGAAAATTTTTAAGATTCACACAAAAACAAAAACAAAAACAAAAACAAAAACAAAAACAAAAAAAGAAGAAGAAGAAGAAGAAGAAGAAGAAATTACAATTGATCTATAATTATGTAACATGATACATGTCAATTTTTTATTCGTAATATACTTAATTATATAGGATCTATTTTTATTGTCACATTATTATAAATAAATTTAAAAATTCAAATTGTGAACCTCTAACACTACTGATGCATACTTAACTAGATCAATTTTGAATGTCCACTGATTAGAACTTAGGCCCTGTTTGATTGGGGATATAAAGATTGGGATTAGATATTATATCCGGTGGGGTCCATATATCCCATGTTTGCAATTTGATGCATACTTAACTAGATCAATTTTGAATGTCCACTGATTAGAACTTAGGAACCTACGGAAAGTTGAAGGACTAATAATCCTTGCGGAATAGAGTGGAGTTTTTCAATTGTCTCATAGTGAAATGGTATTCCATAGGTCAGACAATATGTATATGTCGAGATTGGGAAATGAATTGATTTGTATTATTATGATTATACTATTTTGCGTGTCAATATAGATATTATAGATATTCGTGTACCTAATAGTTATTTTCGATTTGAGTGAGTTAAGCAAGTAAATTAACTTGCAAATTGATTAACTAAGAAAAGATTTATAAGAGCAATATTACATTTATTTAAACTCTTACTAATAGTGTTATTAAAGGGGTATTTTTTTTAAGGTCCCTGATATTATGATTTTATAGTATAAAGGACATCAAATATTTTTATGATGTCTAAGGTCCCTTAACAGGATCCAGAGAAATTTCAGTCCTAGAGAAATTCTCTCCAGAGAAAATTGAAATCCAGAGAAATTTCAATTCCAGAGAAATTCTCGCTAGAGAAAATTGAAATTTCTCTGAGTACCAAATAAATCTAGAGAAAATTGTGGAAAGGAAATTTGTATGGCTATTCAGGAAATTTCATTGACTTCGCAAATTTCTCTGGCTCTATTAACTACAATTAAACCCATGTCTAACAAACGCACAAACCCACAAATTTCTCTGATCCAAAACCAGAGAAATTCTCTTCAAACCAGACAAACCAGAGAAATTCTCTGGATTGAAACTAGAGAAATTCTCTCTATTTACAGTAAAGTTGTATTTTTATGAACAGAACTTGGTGATTGTACATTGATCTAGGAAATTTCTCTGACTTCACAAACCAGAGAAATTCTCATCTCCAATCCAGAGAAATTCACTTAACCTAGAGAAATTCTCCCTCTCCAATCCAAACCAGAGAAATTCTTCCTCTCCAATCCGGAGAAATTCCAATTTCTGTGATTGGGATGCCAGAGATGGAGGCAAATTTCTCTGCTTTAACATCATGGGCAACTTTGTATACATTAAGAAGATAAATAACTAACAAAAAACCTCAATTCAATTCAATGGGATTCTTAAATAAGAACCAACCATATATGTACTAACTAACAAAAAGCAGTTTCTCCTTTTCTTTCTGATTTTTCATTTCATTTATTTTCTTCCCCCTACCCTTCATGCTTTGTTTGGAGAATAGATTTATGTAGGGATTTGTTGATGGAAAAAGTGAAGGAAAAAAAAAATTCTACTACGTTCACTTTTCCATTCATTTTTCTTCTCTCTCCTCAAATCCTTTCACTAATCCAAAGTTCCTAACACAAACACCTCCTTTCTTGGAGAATAGGCAAAATATGTCTTCTATTATCTTGGTAGCTGAGAAAGAGAATGCTGGAAAGGAATTTAAATTGGAGAACATAAAATTCACAAAACTGTTCGAACCACAGAAACATACAGTTCTTCCCAGATCAGGTTGATTTGTCTTTTGGATCCTTCTCTCCAATCAGATCGTCGTAAGTAACAGGTACCCTCATTATATCATGAGCAGATGCCGGTTTCCTTTCAGCATCGAACTGCTCAAGTTGGTTTTGCAAATGAGCTTTCGGCCCTCACGTCCGTCGTGAAGAACCTCGGCAACACCACGCGAGAGACAAGCTCGATGTTGCGGATCTTCAGTCCGGCATAGGAGATGAAGATGAGCGCCTGGATCGTGAGGGCTTCGGAGACGAAGATGTATGCGATTGCGATGAGAGGGAAGGAGAGGAGGAGAACGAGGCCGGGAATTTCCACTGGGTAAAGCTTTGGGAAGTGTTGGAAGATGAGGAGGACTGAGAGTCGAGTTGTTGGGGGTGGCGGTGGGTCAGATGATGAAAATAGTATAAAGGACTGAAATTTCTTTGATGTATGTTTAGGGACCTTAGGCATCAAAAATAATTTTGTGAATCTCTTCCATTACGAAAAGTGGGAGAGGGACCCTAGACCAATTTTCCCGTTATTAAAAGTATACAAGCCAAAATATTAAAATATGATTACTTTTTTTGGTACTTACATGTAAGTCATAATAAGTGAACTTATTGTCTAATAAGTCTTGTAGGAAAAATTTGTCATAAAAAAAGTCACTAATTGTAAGTTTTAGCGACAATTTATAAAAATATGACAAAAAAAAAATCACTAATTGTCAATTTTTAACGACATATATAAAAAATTGTCATAAAAAATTATTTTTAGCGACAATGTTATCAAGACTTATTTTCAATAGAACTTGATGAGAATTAAATCAAACTATTAAGACCTATTAGTAATTTACCCTTTGAGAACTAATCATATTTGACTTCTTATATTTTTAATAAAATTATTAATATCTAGAGAATTATCCATAGAGTTTCCAATAGACTAGTTGTTTGCTCACTCCCTTACATGACAAGTAGTGATGAGAGGTCTTTGTCACGATCTATGTGTATCCTTTCTTTTTTATATTTTATAAATCATAGGTTATATCGGCATAAGTGATTTTTTTGTTGTACTTCATCCTAAATTTATTTATGTTCTATAATATATTAAATAATTAATTCATGTATTTGATTTTTGTATGCCATATTGTGATTTGAGACGTTGTTCCAAAAATAACCTTATGCAAGTTAAATCAATAAAATTGGACGAATTGATCAAACTACATTCTTTTTGGAAAACTAAGATAAAAATGAGCATTTTTGTTGGCTAATTAATCTTTTTTAAAAGGGAGATTCTATCATACACACTCTTTTTTGGAGTGTGAACCATATACCTTTGTAATAATTTTTGTGATTTGTAGTTATAACCTATTGTAGTTTTAATTAAGACTTAGTTTCGATTCATTTCGGTATTAATTATATTTCATTGTGATGTTGGTTATAATATTATTTTAATTATAATTCAATTTTTTTTTTATTATTCCTTCTATGATATATATGTATATATTTTTTTAGTTACGATTGAATAAGATCTAATTATAAAATTTATAATAATTAACACCACAAAATATCGTAACTTGAATGTAACATGCCCTAAAATAGTAAAGTTGTTAACCTTTTTCATTGTAAACTCTTGGATCATCTAGACCCTTTATTCGAAATTTAATATTTTTTGGCAATTTGACACTCAGGAATTAATAAATAAATGTATAACATTTTTGAATAAATTATTAAATGAATTTTGGATACATTTCCTAGGTAAACTTGATATTTTGCAAATTAACAGGAGTGACCAGGATTTGAGAGTGACCAACTGAATAAAAGTCGATTTTAACAAATAATCATGATTAGGATAATTAATTTATGTCTAATTAAATCACTTAAAAATCGGGACATAACAACATAAATGTTTTGAAAAAAATAGTTTGAAAACAAGAGGGTGACTAAAAGTTATTGTCGACGGCTACAAATAGTGGCCAGAGGTTGAGAAGACTCCCTGGAGGTGGCGATGGCTGGAGTTGGAGGAGGAGAGAGGGATGGAAAATTTATTTATAAATATTTTCTATTTGATAAAATCCAGTAAATTTTGATACTTGTTTTATTTTTTTGGATTATTTATAGAGAGACCTCCTAAATTATTAAGAAGTATCACTTTGACTTATTAATTATAAAAGTATATCAATAGACTCCCTAAACTATTGGCATATTTTACTTTGACCCCTTCTATTACTGCACAGTGAGTTAAACCAAACTTTTAAACATTTTCCGGACACTACAGGAAAAAATAGTTTAGACGGCGTTTTTTTAACGACGCATTTTTGAACGTCACTATTTTTAATATTTAACGACGTTTATAAAACGTCGCATATTTATTTAATAAAACAACACCGTTTTATAATAAGAGGCGTTTAAAAACGCCTCCAAATGCGTTGTGCCTCATGCGCTGGGTCTCCCCTTCTTATCCAACCCTAATTTTGAATCTGAGATTCGCCTAAGACCCAAATCGAGAGTGCTCTCTCTCTCTCTCTGATAGCGATTTCGAAGCTCCACCACTTGTTCATTCTCAAATCGAGGTAGCGAGCACCAACGAAGGTGAGCTTCACTGTCTCTCTTTCTCTCTCTAAATATCTCTCTCTCTCTCTCTCTCCATCCTCTCTAAACCCTTATCATAGCGATTGAGAGATTTATCTCAATGATTTCATCTCAAAGATTCAGAGCGATTTCATGTCAGTGATTTCATCTTAGTGAGAAAATGGATCATGAAAATCGATTTATCATTACTCGTTAACGGTAGACCTATCGAACATATGATATGTTAAGCTTCAATCAGGTAGATCTATCATTTTTCACACACACACACACACAGAGATCATGAAGTCTATGGGTTTGATTCTTCATCTTCTTCATATTTTGTTTTTGGCCGATTTGAGATCTGAAGCTTCATTCACAACAGATCTATCATTTCCTTCAAATTTTTTTGGTAGATGTGGTGCATCTCTCACTCTCTCTGCCTCATATGTATGTGTATCTATAGATCTACGAAGAAAACAGTGATTTGTTCTCGTTTTTGTTTGAATTATCAATTTTATTTGAAAGGTAGGGTTGGTTTTCTATTTTTGGTTGTTTTGTTTCTAGATCTGAATACGACTTCATTACCTTTCTGAGGTTTGTTTTTGTGTTCTTACTCTTGTTTTTTTACATTGATTACCGATTCGAATTTAGACTCAACAAAGTTCTACTTCTCTCGAATATCACTACTTGATTTTTTACTAATTTTAAGTGTTTCAAATTGATCTCATCGTTTCATCGTCTTTTCTGATTCAGATGGCTTCGACGACACTCTCTCTTGCCTTTGATTGGGGGTTCTGGAGCTGGTTCAGCTGGTATTTGTGGTGATGTGTGATTGAATTTATTTAAGAAATTCTTTAATTTATACACAAAAATATAACAAATATAATGTGTGATTAAATTTAATTATGGAATCTTTCAATATTTTATTAACATGTACACAGAATTATTTTTTTACTATCCACTTTTTTTATATTCTTTTAAAAAATTATGAGAGTCATTATTCTCACTCCATTTTACTTCTAATACACTTATTGACTCATTGATATTGATAACTCGAATATAGTGATGTTATAGAGATTTTTTTTAGCACCATAAATATTTGAAATTTTTATGGAAAAACAGAGTTTTTTTTTTTTTTTTTTTCCTGTCCTCAACAACTAAACTAGAACATTAAAGCTATGTTTGGGAACATGCTAAATTAGCCAAAATGGTAATCCACTCTCTCTAATTTTTTCGCACATCTTTCTGTAAAAAATCAGAAAAAAAAGTCAATTTCCAAACGAATCCTAGGATGTATAATAAATCATGACATTCTATTTGAACGGACAAAATTGGAGCTAGAAGGCTCTAATCGTGCTATTTTCATGAAGGAGAAAAGCAATCTCTTCACCAAGACTAAGGTAATTATGGACTCTTTTAGTTTATGTCAATGTAATTTAGTGTAAATTTAGTAACTTTAGCCTTTCATTACATCTTAGAATAGTGAAAATTGCTTAATAAATCCAATTAAATTTATGTGTGTGTTTTAAAAGCAAGGACCATTGATCTCCATTGAGTATGAAATATCATCTAATTGGTTGGTAGCTATGTCAAGTTGCAGAATAGAATTAGCTTCATTAATTTATTTGTCTATTTTCTTTATGGTTGAGTTAATGAATATTTAGCAACTCCTTGTGTTCTCCGAGTGCATACTAGACAAGGTGTAGCAGTACACCTAGTCTATGTCGTGTATTTGGAGAACCATGGAGAGATGCTGCCGCAATTTCGTTAGAGATGAACAGAGCGGTATGAGCTGCTTTTTACAATATAGGGCAGAACATCAACTAAAGTCCGAAGGTTTTTTTTTCCAACTAATCTGTCACTCGAAATTCTGGACATAGAACTACTTCATACAAATGGATAATCTCCCTTGCCCGTTTTGATTTTCTTTGTATCATTCTTATTTTGATAGTTAACTAGTACTGGTAGTTGATAAGATGGTTGAAATTGTTCTCACCGTCTTTTTTCTGTTGCTGCATGTAGCCTGATTTCTGGACTGAAACAGAGGATGCAGTCCGGAGAGCTTATCGTACAACTGATGCTTCTATTTTGGACAAATCATTAGAGTTGGGTAAAGGAAGTTCAACTGCAGTTACAACAATCTTAATTGATTGTCAGAAGCGGGTGGTAGCTAATGTTGGAGATTCAAGGGCTGTCGCCTACAAGAATGGTGTGGCCAAACAATTGTTAGTTGATCATGAGCCTAACAAGGAAAGGACATATATCGAGGACAGAGGTGGTTTTGTATCAAATTTTCCAGGTAACTAGACTTCTGAAAGAAAATTGAAAAGTGATGGACTGTCATAAAAAAGTAATAATAATAATGAATGTCAACTTATTCTAGTTGATTTGTTTTTTTATTCTTTTGTATTTACTTTTTAAGCTTATCTTTTTGACTGATTAGCGTTTTGGTGTTTTCCATGGTTTTGAAGGAAAACTTTTTTTTTAAAGGACTTTTCGTTTATATGATGTCCAAGGGGGGAAAGGCAGACTATGTTGGCTTTGAATGATCAAAATGTAAATTATTCTTGGTACTGATCAGAGGATTATTGTAAATGGTACTTTGAGTAAAGTAACCACTTCTACATGTTCCTTTGCTTTGGTAATAAGCTTTTTGCATAATGATAATGTTAATTTTAACATGTTTTTCCCTTGGCTAACCTTGACGTCAAGATTAGATCATCTTACGATTACATCATTGTGTTAAATTCAGGTGATGTTCCACGAGTTGGACAGTTGGCCGTAGCAAGAGCATTTGGTGACAAAAGCTTGAAGAAACACCTCAGTTCAGAACCAGATGTGTCTTTGGAGATTGTAGATGAAGATACAGAGTTTGTCATCTTAGCAAGTGATGGCATATGGAAGGTTGGTTCTTCTGTCTATGGTTCATAGATAGAGCGGTATGAGCTGCTTCAAGAGATGAGCAATCATTTAATCAAAGCTTTTTTGACAAATACCATATCTTATTAATTACAATACTTGCTCTTATTAAATATAGGTTAACCTTTCAAAGAAAGAAGAAGAAGAAGAAGAAGAAGAACTAACAAGGTAAAAGTACTAATATCACTAGTTTTTAATTTCTCACTTTTCTAAATCTATTAAGACATGATGTGATTTGTTCTTTCTAACTCTACTTCCCCCCTCCCTTTTGGTCACTAAATGTTAAATATTGCCATAGTATAGAACAAATGCATGACACAAGCATAAATGCACATATTATGCATTTGCATACATATAATTGCACACACACTTGTATGAATGAGAGTAATTAATAGTCAGTTCTCAGTTATATATGTCATGTTGGCATGAACTTAAATATGCTTATTTGAATGTATGAAAACTCAATATATTTAATCATTGGCTAAATTTGGCTATTTTTGCTGATTTAGTTGTCATACATCACAAACCTATATAGTTCTGGTGTTACATTAACTTGGGCCATAGGGCAGAGGCACTTGGCTTATTCTTTGTATATAGTTCTGGTGTTACATTAACTTGGGCCATAGGGCAGAGGCACTTGGCTTATTCTTTGACTTCCCTCTCCCAAACAAACTTATTCTACGAAACACCTTCAGTAACCTGCTCGCATACTTTCTGTGGGAAGCAAAATTCATAGAACCAATGCAAGCACTCACTTGTCCAAGTGGGTTTCTCTTCTTGCTCAATGTTCTTCCCTCCAAACCATAAGGCCTCAAGCCCTGCAGATTAGTAGAATTTGGTTATGATTTCTTTGGAACTGGTTCTTCTTTTGTAGAGATGTTCTGTATTTGGAGGGTTTTTTTCAAGGACATGAGTTCTTGTTCAAGACTCTGAATTCTGAAGCTGGTGGATCTGTATTCCTTCCTTGACAACTCAGACCTATGAATTGCTGCATCTTTTTGTAGCAAGAAGCTGAGGGGTCTACTACTGATTGCTTCACCTCCGTCTATATATGGACTCTTGCCAAGGTTCTAGCTTTTGGAGTTTGCATATCTCGAGCTTGAGAGGCTGCCGGAGAATTCCCCACAATCTGCATACCTAAATGAGTCTGAGCATTCTTTGAAGGCTTTGTGCGTGTTTAGTTGCTGAACGAAAAGTGCCTGGACAATCAAACACAGTGGCATCAACTCATTCTGAACTGCTTCAATGCACATCTCTTGTGATAGTTTCTGGCAGTTGAGGTATTTGCACACTAACCCTTTCTCGTCTTATGATATGCCTTGGTGTGCCTGAAGATCAGAGAACCAGGACTATATATTAATAACCTTTATTTCATTGAACCATCATTGTCATCGTTCTAAGCCTGGACTATATCTGATTTCTAGTATTATTTGATTTTTATGTTGACATCATTGTTCTTTCTTAACAGACATTCCACAGTTCGTGAAGTTGCAATCATGATGCTTCTGGCCTATTTGTCATACATGATAGCTGAGGTACCTCTAAAGAAGAAAAAAAAAATAGAAACCATATATATCCTTTAAAATTCTCCTTATAACATTCAAGAAAAATAATAAAATCGGTTATTATATTGATTGTCTTGATTACAAAAAATGTGCAAGTAGACATTTTTATGTTTTTTCTACAACTTAGACCACTTACTAAATCACCATTTGTTGTTTTTCAAGGGCATTCATAGCCCTCATCTCTGCTTCAGCTGGTGTTGAAGTCTTGAATCTTTGATTGAGTTAAAAGTAAACATGATATTTCTTTTATATTTTCATGCCAGAGAAGTGGTTTACCAATTTGAATAATTGAAATTTGCTATGACAGAAAAAGAAATGAATTTAAGTCTAAGAAAAAAAAAATTCCACTTTTGTCCGTCAATCTTCAATGAATCCCTTTCTTAATAGTGCTTCTTTGCATTTATATTCTTGGAATTGCAGTGCTTCTTGGTATGTGATAAAATCTTCTTGTTAGTGCTTCTTCAAGTTTTAAGTATTGTTTATAAGTATTTGGTACAAATTCTTCAATTTGTGTTTATTTTGGTGAATCTAATTGCGGTTTATGTTCTGATGCAGGCACGTGGACCAGTGATGACTACAATTTCTATGCTAAAACATGATTTTTGTATATATGTTAGTTTGTGGTTAATGTTAAAACATGATTTTTGTATATATGTTAGTTTGTGGTTAATGTTAAAACATGATTTTTACATTTTGGAAATGTTATTTTGTGGGTAATGGTGATTGGATATTAATTGAATGAGAAACTGAATTAATGCTTCATTTGTTATTTGAATGGAGTTATTATCTTATATGTTAGTTTTATTACAGGTATTTGAATAGGAGTTAATATTTTATATGTTAGTTTTATTACAGGCATTTTTTAAATTCAATCAAATAAAATTAGCACAATTTCAAAAAAAAAAAAAATGGGGATATGGCGGCGTTTTTAAAACGTCGCTAAATATCATTGGTGACGTCAGCGTGCGTATAGTAGGACATTTAGCGGCGTTTTTTAAAACGCCTCCTATACTAATATCACGACGTTTTTAAAACGTCACAAAGCTACAGCGACGGCCGCATCTTCGACGCTTGGTACTAAATGCCAAAAAAAGAATTAGCGGCGTTTTTTAAGCGCCACTAAAAGTCTAATTTCCAGCCGTGAGATAAAAATACTCTCTATATATTGTTGTTTTTAATATAAGCATTCATCTATTATTAGTATTGTTTTTCAAATATTCTTTGTAAATATATTTTTTCAGAAAAAATATTTAAAAAATAATAAAACAGAAAAAAAAAAAAAAAGAAGAAGAAGAAGAAGAAGAAGAACAGAAAATTTGAGAGGAAGTCTTATTAGGTGTGTTAGATAGAGTAATGAGAGGAAGTGTTATTAGGTGTATTATATAGAGTGTTGAAAGGTATTTTTTGTCTCAAAAATAATAAAATGGGTCAAAGTGAAACATACTAATAGTTTAGGAGGTTCATTTGTATATTTTTATAGTCAAAATTATACTTCTTAATAATTTAGGAGTATATTTGTAAACTTTATAATTTGAGGAGTCAAAATGATATTTCTTAACAGTTTACGAGTCTTCGTATAAATAATTTTTTCTTTTTTCCCTTTTTTTTTTTTTTTGGTAATGACATGGACAGGAAATAAATTTTGAAAGAATTACTTAACAGTTGGGGGAAAAAAAAGTACTTAAACATGATGGATGCAACTCAATACAACTCAATACAACTCAAACTTTTTAAGCATATAATTCTGAATTGCACCTTTCTATATTTATGTAGTTTTCTTTTTTCTATTCCACTGTGGAGTAATTTCTCATAGATTTTTGGGTACGTGGCCTACAAGTTAAGCAGCTAAACATGTTAGAACATCTCTAATGATTGTTAGTGTTATAATTTGATAATGAATAATATTATTTTGTCAAATTATAACAATAGTACTCCAATGGTCATTTTCTATTTTGGCAATTCTCAACTAACTTTTTCTTCAAGTTTATAGGTGTTGTTTGGATATATATTTTTTTATGATTTTATTTTTATTTATTTTTTTTATCTTTTATGACCTTTTTTAACTATTTGTAAAAAAAAATTATATATTTATATTATTCCCGACTAAACAAATATAAAAAATGAAAAAAAAATTGAAAAATTAGAAAAAAAAATTAAATATAATTCAATTTGAAAAATTAAATAGAAAAATAAATTTGAAAAATTACTCGATTTTCTACTTTTTCAATTCTATTTTTTCAACTGAATTTGGAACCAAACATATGTGAATGTGAATGTGAATGTTCACATTATAGAACATTCAAAATAGTCAAAAAAATAGTGCACACCAAGCTACTAAGTGCTCAAAAAATATTTGTATAAGTAAATTTATCCACAAATTACATTACATATGATAATTAGGATTTGGTGGATTAAATATCTAAAATAATAAGCCTTATTAGAATATAAGAATATTTTATGAACTAATTGGGATATAAATACTTAAAAGAAGATTTTCTAATAAACTTTATTTTTTTGATAAGAACATGATTAATAAGATTATTTATTGAGAATGCCAAATTATTAATTTGAAGACCTTTTTTTTTAAAAAAAAAAAAAATTATCTCACTATCGCTAGATGGCTACCGAACTACTACTGACAACCAGGAATAATATGATATTTTCAAATTGTTTTGCATTTTTTATCCCAAAAGAATAGAAATTTGCCCCCAAAAATTTGAAATTAGACTTGTGATCTGAATCCCCAAATGGAATTGAGCTCAAGGTAAATATTTTATGAATAATTTTGTTCAATAGAAATTAATTTAATTAAATTTATGTTCTCAAGAAAAAATTAAATTTAATTACAGTTGGTATTTTTAGTAAATTATTTTGACATATTGACACAAAAATAAATTAGATACAGACTGAAAATAATATGATAAGATAATAATAAATAATAAATTAATTAATGTTTAAATAATTTTGACACCAATCCTAAATAACATGACACAAATACAACCTAACGCCACGTCCCTTCCTAATTGTTACAGTGTCACAACGGTATGTCAAAACATTCTCACTAAACAATGGGATGGTTGGGAGTCAACATCATTCGTGAGGCACAAATAGTTATGGAAAATGCAATTGGGCCAATAGTTTTATAATAATAATATTATTTTGGGGGAGCTTTGAAAGTGGCTATTGAGTCTTCATTTCGCTTTCGGAGTATTATTTTTGACAATCTCCACTAGACAATGTTTCCACTTTTTCTTTCTCACTGTTCAATCAGAGTGATTATTTATTGACTTTACAGCAACTCCCGACTTGTTTACCAATAGTATCTTCAAAGTAGCTCTCAAAATATTTTTTAAAGTTATAATTTAATAATAGCGATAAAAAATAAGTTTTCAATGACTTATTATTTTGTTCGTCAAAGATAACATATGATATATTTATTCTTAAATTTGACAAGTAAAATAACAATTGCCAAACATATCACATTAGCAAATATAAACATATGGGAAAATTTACCAATAAGTCTTAGTTTCTGAAAAGTTGAACCATTTAATCCTAAAAGTTTTCTTATGCTCCATTTAGTCCCATTTGCACATCAATCTAATGTTTGAAACATTAATCTAATGTTCGAAATCTAATGTTCGAAACATTAATCTGATGTTTGAAATATTGTAATGGGACCTTTCAGTCTATAAGAAAACTTTTAGGACTAAACAGTATATAAGTTATTAATTTGAAATTTATTGGTGCATCCCCCTTAAATAAATTTGACAATGACATTAATGCACACTTTATTATTATTATTATTATTATTATTATTATTATTATTATTATTGTTATTTTGATAATTACGTCACTTATAGAACTTATTAAAATATAAAAAAAAATAATTTAAATTAAGTAGAATATAAATAGGTGAAGAAAAATTTATGAATAAATGTTCCCAAAAAAATCAGTCATTGGATCTTTTTTTCCCCCCCAAAGATAGAAATTGTTATTAAGATAAAACATCAAACTCCATGACAATAAATCCATTCCATTTCCTTAATGTACAAAACTTATATTAACACTAAATAGTAAGCAAAAAAATACTTTACCTTCAATTAAAACAAATATATAGTGGTCTTAATATCATATTTTATATACTTTTAATTAGTTGGATTAAGTTACTTAAGAGATTAAAAAATGTTATGACATTCAGTAGTGAAAATAATTTCTCTATTAAATGGGTTATATCCTTATCAACTTTGTGTTATGTAGGTTCAATACTAATATGATTTATTTAATATTGGTGTGTTATCAAGTCCCGTATCATATTTGTGTTTGTGTCAGAAAATGGTAAACACAAAATCTCTAATTTTGTGCATAGTTCGAATCGTGTTATCATATTGTGCCAAAAATTATCACTCCTAATTAGAATGACAACAATTTTGATATGAACATAGAAATTATTTTTCCTGTGATTGGTTTGGTCCCATCGATATATATTATGTGATTGATTTTTTTTGTTTTGTAAATTAATTCGAATGAGAAAGACACAAAAGAATATCAGAGAAAAGTCGAATAGACATGAGTTAGAAATACAAGCTTCGAACTTTCTTGGTTAGATAGAATATAAAAAAAGAAAAAAGAAAAAAAAGGGGCTTTTTAGTGAATTTATTTATTTATTTATTTCTATGGATGTAACAAAGGCTTTGATAGACTTACACCACCTCCTCTCCTCTTTGTCTCTCACATACATAGATATTTATACTACACCTTAAATCAGAAAAAAAAAAAAAAAAAAATCTACAATTTTCAGTTTTTCTTTCTACTTCAATTTCCACAGCTTTTGAACCAACAAGTTGTCACCAATTTTAATTTGACTTGGCTTCCTATCCAGTTCTTCTCTCTCTCTCTAGTAAAGAAAGGAAATGCAAAAGACATGTGGGGTATGCAATAAGTTGGTGATGTGAATCTCCAAGAATTTAGTGAAAGTAATTGGGTCCAGGCCAGTCATCCTAAAACTCTTATACAAGTTGCCATGCAAGTAGGGTATTAAAGAACTTTATTATATATCAATAATGTTTTTTTTTTATTATCATATTATGCCTGATATTTTATTTATCAATATAATATTAGTGTAATGGATCTCACTATTAATGTGAATCTCCAGTGCAATGCAACTGACACATTGAATAGTAAGATAAGAGGATAGAAATAGATGATTATTGTGACATTACTCAATAAATATAAAAATTAAAGGTTATGAACTCACAAGATGTGTGTGCATTGATTAAAATAGTTGTAACCATCATATGATAAATAAATAAAAATTTAATGTAGACAGAAGGGAAAAAAAATTGAAGAAATCAAATTTTGATATAAAAAACTTGGGTAATATAAGAGTAATTTACACATAAAAAATGTGTGACAGTTTCACCAAGTGAATTGCATATTTTATATAATACTAGTGAATCAGTCATGTGTGAACATTCGAAAGGTGTGCTATTATAAGTTACAAATTTTGATCTAAGATTGGATTTCATAAGTTATGGGTATTTTTGATCTGGACAGTTATAGGAAACAAGACAGGTTACACGAGGGTATTTTGGAAAAAAATTTACAAAAAAGAAAATTGTGGCATTTACACGGGAGCTTCTATTTGCACACACAATATACACTTTCTACACATCCTCTTCACTACACTTTTTGCACATCCTCTTCATTAAGTGTGTGTATAGAATGGATTTGATGTGTGTAAATAGAAGCTCCCCATCTACACCAAGTCTATCCTTCTCTTTATATATATATACATATATACATATACATATACACTGAAGCAGTGGCAAACACAATTGTGCACATATGATAATTTTGTTTTAGAAAATAAGATTGTAGCTTATATGACGAAATTCAAAATCTAAAAATTGAAATGAATTTAAAAAATTAAAAGTTGAGAGATTTGAAAATAAATAAATAAATAAAGACTAAATTTAGGGCGTAATTTTCCATGTAACTGATATAGGGATATTTTGGGAAAATTAAAAAAAATAAAAAAAATAAGACATAAACACAAAAAATTCTATTTCCACATACCACATTATCTCTGTGCACATCTTTTCTCACTCCATACACTTAGTAATTTGATTCTTAACTATTTATCTCAGTCCACATACCCCACATTCCAAATACACCTATTTAATAAAAAATGTGTGCACACCATCATATTAGCTAACACAAATTCCCAAAATACTTCTTCCTTCAACTTGCACATCCCACCCTCTGCCGTGCATGGTCCAGCCTCTCCATCATCGTCCAACCTCTCCATCTCAGATAGGCATTCTCCGGTAGCCTATAGCCTCCAGCCTCCTCTGTTGAAGACCGGCATTGAAGAAGATCGACAGGCATCTTCGACAGCCATTCTCCAGCTGTAAATCACTTATAAGGTGAGTGAATATTACCCATCATTAAATAAAATAAGATGCAATCTAGGTTAGTTTTTTTTCATTTTCGATAGTCGTTCATACTTGGCACACATTGAGACGAAAAACAACCATTAGGTATTGGTTTGCCAAATCATTTTAACCCATTCGAAAACCAACAATCGAATTACTTTAGACCATTCGATACTGTACTTCTGAATTTTAAGTTTTAATTCGGTATTGTACTTCTGAAACTATTATTCATATTCAATTGTTGTTTTTCATATATTGTCTATGTATTCAGCACTGGTTTTCCGAATGGTGATCGGGAATAGAAATTACGTAAAATAATTTCTTAGTAAAAAAAAGTTACCTTTCTGTAGCTGCATTGGTTGTTTTGCATATCCTCCTGGTTTTTTGAATTGTTTGGCAAATCTTCCATCAAGTTTTGTTAGACAAACAATGGTAACCTAATGAGTGAACATTGGAAGAATGTTAGCAATGGAGTCTAGTATGTGAGAAATAATGGAGGAAGAATGTAGACAATGCAGTATATAAGGAAGAATGAAGGAAGAACATAGGCAATAAAATGTGAGAAAGCGTGGAGGAAGAATGTAGCAATGGAGAGTGTGAAAAAGAGTGGAGTGTGTAAGAATGAGTGTAAATAACGTAGGCAATGGATAGTGCATGTGCACAAAGAGCTTTTACAAGAAAAAGATATGTACAGAGATCTCTATTTTGGATGTTTTTAAATGTGTGGATAGATGTCTATTTTGATCATTTTATTTAAGGGTAAATTTGTAATAAAAATAAAGTTCATTAAGTGTGTACACAGAGACAATATGGTGTGTAGAAATAGAATTTCCCCATAAACACCAACTAAAGCCTTCCCTTTAATAGTATAGATAGATAGATAGAAGATAGACATATGGACAAACAGATAGATATATAGATAGATAGATAAGAAGGTGTGTACACTCAATGGTTACACTATTAACAACTTTAAAAATTACAAAATTTGAAAGGGCAAATTACACCTTACCCCTTCAATTATAATCATTTTTCACATTACTCTTTCAATTTAAGAATTGATACAATATACCCCTTCTTCTTCTAAAAGTTTTCAATCTAACTCTTTTGTCATTTTGCTAACAAATATGACATGTATACATTACATGTACATTTTTCATCTGCTTTGTTAATAGAATGGAGACATAGGGATTAAATTAAAAACTTTTAGAAGATGAAGGGGTAAAGTGAAATTTGCCCAGTTTGAAATTATTAATTAGATATGAGTAAATTAAGAAATGAGAAAATGTGTGGCAAAACTGAAAAAAAAAAATGTATTCTGGGCTTTACACTTTATTTGAGAGACAATTGATAGTTCTGTTTTTCTGGATTTTTTAATTTTGTTTTTCAAGGAAAAAAATGAATAATGGCATAACTATTATTGTTACTAATCTTATGGGCATTTTGGAAAAACAAACATAAACACCAACAAATACAGTGTTAGCTTTGTAATAGTACTAGCGGTCTGCAGAAGCATCGCTTGTGTGTAACTCGAAAAAAAATAATATGAAAATAATGACAAAGAGTAATGCATATGTAGTATTTGTTACTCAAATGGTAAAAGCTTTGTTTACCAAACCTATGAGCTTAGTTTTGAGTCACATCTTCCTCTTAAAATAACTTTTACATAAACACCAACTATAGGAGTACTTTGGAAAAGCTCAAAATATGAAACAAATTTGTGTCAACACTATGAGGAGCCTTCACATATTATAATGGAATATATAGAAAGATATTACAAGTTGGATACACGCAATACATGTGTAGAGAAAAGAATGTAGATGAAAGAGACAAAAATTGGAAAAATTAAAAATTAAAATTAGGAACTTGAACAATTATATAGGAGCAATTTAATTACAAAAAAATATGTGAAGCCTTTCTACAGCAAATGAGTTGTGTGGTCTAATAGATAATATAGTATACATGTCATGGTAGGTGAAAATTGAATTACTTGGTTGCGACGGTACTCTAGTGAGGATAAAACTACTTGAGACCTAAAAATACAATCACAAAAAGGCAAAGGAGTGGCTAGGGACCACCTAGGGATTCTCCAAAGCCTAAGTTAGCAAAAGAGTAGTGTTGGCTATACATTTTGTACAAACCTACCGCAGCTTGATACATGGATCGTAAAGGCCAATTTGGCGAATTAGTAAAGGTCTCCAATCATCAACAGACATGTAGCAACTTATAGCAGTGGCCAAACGGTTACTTCAATTTAAATTCAAATTCAGGAGGGAAGCCTAACCATGGGAGTGGAATAGTGGAAGCAAACTGTTCAAAGCCATACTCAGTGATCGTGGAGATCACTTCGACAGTTATCACCTACTTCAACGATTATCAGTCACTTCGACGGTTATCCTCAGAGCCTATAAATAGAGGAGAGTGTTCATAATGCAGGCCCTAGAACCAGATCTAGAAAACTAGTTTATTGACTTAATTTTCCAGTCCTTTAAATTCCAATCTTTTACTTTCTTGTACAGCACTTCAAATTTCTAGGAGTAATCTAAAGTAGTTTGTTGATGTAATCCCCTTCAAATCTGTGGAAGCGCGAAGATACTATTGTAAACTTTTATTTAATTAATGAAGTTTGATTTCTGCCACTATTTTTTCCTCTTTCTTTTACTTTGATTAGTCTTCTTAATTTTCTCCTAAAAACTATGCCACTAGTAAAGTCCTTTTCATTGAGGCTAAAAGAATTTCGAAGCAATCATCTAACTAATTGGTTGGCATTTACTAATCTTTGTAAGGAGTTATTGATCCTTGCTGGCATGCTCAAATTACATTTCTAACCTTTGAAAGCCAAAAAAATCAACATATATTTTTGGCACGCCTAGTGAGACACTAATAATGGCTAGACTTAGGAGACAATGAGAAAATGAATGCCTCGAAGAAGATGTAAAAAGAGATTTAGAAGCACATAACCCAGAGAATAATATAATATCATATCCCATAGATTTGCCTATCTCAACAAATCCTCCACAAATGGTCGAAGAGACCAGCATTGCATGATATGCAACGCACGTCCAAAATATTGGACAGGGCCATGAAACTGGACCTTCTACTATTCCCTCCACTCAACCAATGAATCCATGGGGATGATTGACCGTCGTTATGGGATAGTAATTAATGTGTACAATGGAAATGTGGGCAACATCTTTTTTGGATCGAATGAACTCATATCTACCGTCTGTCATAAGACAGGCTGAAGAGAACATAAATTTCCTTCAATAGAGATTGACTCAAGATAAACAGCCCATGCAAAACAATAGGCAAAATGATGGTCAAACTAGTCTTCAAACTACTAGTCAAAATCATGAGAGACCATCACCTGCGCCTCAATCATGGTATGAAGCCCTTCCTCGACCTCTGGCAAGTCAAAATGCACCTTTGCCAACCAGCGAAACCATACACATTGGTGGGTCTAGTCCAACACAGGGAAATGTCATGCGAGTATTTTCAAATCGTATGTTTGAACCTATGCCTGGCACACAGGTGTTCACCAATCCTATGTTTGAATTCACACCTGGGGGATTGGAAGGAATTTCTGCGGTGGGAAGAGAAACAACAGTTGTTCCTCCTTTCGTAGTTCCCTTCGCAGCACCTTTTGTAGGACAAATGCCTTCCCTAAGAAGGCAGCCATACCCTCAACATTAACCAGCACAACAAGGACAACCAGTCCCAAATGTGCCTTTATATGGACCAAGAAGGCCCCAAGCACATGGAGTTCCACTAAACCTTGTGTTTGTTCCTTTAATAATGGCCCAACCAGCACAGAATATGGTACATAGGGACCAAATTGCTGACACTTTTAGAGAGATTTGTGGACCC